TGCATAAATACACACATATACATACACACAAACACAAATATGCATATTCATATATATTAATTTATTTAAATAATTGCTTCTTAATTTTTTAAATATATTTTTATTGATTTCAGAGAGGAAGAGAGAGGGATAGAGAGAGATAGAAACATCAATGATGAGAATCATTGATCGGCTACCTCTTACACATTCCCTACTGGGCACTGAGCCCACAATCCAGGCATGTGCCCTTGACCAAAATTGAACCTGGGATCCTTCAGTTTGCAGGCTAACTTTCTATCCACTGAACCAAACTGGCTAGGGTACTTCCCTATCTACTGAAAAACCATAAGTTCACATTGATATTTCCAATCCTATGTGTTTATTCTAGTTTCTGAGTTTCCATATTTTAACTTCCTCATCAGATAGTAAGAAACTTGGCTCCAATTCTCCTTCATATAATCCTGTGTTGATCAATATGTAATGAATCTCTCTTATCTGCTGCCACTTCCTCTCCCACACAAGAGCCCTAGGGTCCTGTTCAGTCTGACTCTCCCAGCCTGGCTGTCCCCATGTGGACACTGTCTTTACTCTTCTCTGGTTCTAATTACCCACACCAGGCTGCATCACTATGGCAACATTCTTCTCACTCACTCTGGCTCCATCATCCCACGCTATGTATTCCTTCTCCAAGCATGTCCTTCTCATCCTGTGCAGGTTATCACACTCCCGCAGCCAGCCCCAGCATGGGAGCCTCATTAACACGGCTCGACTGGGCTTTAGGACTGGAAAGGGGATGAGGAAGGGGGAAAAATGACCTGAATCCTATTTTTCTCCCATAATTTTTTAACCTTTTTCAAGTATCTAACAAGTAGTTTTTAATCTGTATTTAAAGTAATCAAATATGCGTTTGTTTATTAAAAAATAAAATCTCTCTCTTTGTGACATGACTACATAAAATATATACATATTCAAAATAAAAACAACTCATGAAACATAATATTTGAGAGTTCATCTTTTAATTGCATTCTTCGTCTTTAAAAAGGGTGAGGCTTTAATACAACATTATGTAAAGAATTACTTAGAGTCATTTTAATGAACACTTGGGCTCTTGTTTTTCCCTTTGTTTCCTCTAGGTCTGCCCAGTGAACAATTTCCCCAATGTGAATAGCAATAATACAATTGTCTAGGCTTTGCATTGGGCTTTGCCATTTCCACCTCTGAACTTAAAAGCCATGTTCTATTTTTTTAAGAAACATCTAAAAGAAAACATACTGCTAAAAACATCTGCAACTAGTGTCATTTGCTTTTCAGCCAACGATGGCTAATGTAATGAACAATTTAAAAGCACAATTTGCCATATGGATGGTATAACAGTTATTTGCTCTGTTGCTAAACATAGCAGTGTGTTAGATGAATATAACAGCTTTCGCACTGGCATGGAGAAGAAGCAGATTGGCCAAACAGGTGCTCTCTGTAGTGGTAATAGAAGATTTACAATCTTCTCAGACCTTCATTCTCTACATAATTTTTGAGTTATATATATAAATAGCTAGGGAAGAAAGACTACCCCAACATTGCTGCCCTGAACTGACACAGACCAGAGCTTCCAGTATAGAATACAGTGCTTTATAAACATAATAGTACTATAATTATTTCATTTCCTATAATAACTCTCCGCTGTCACTGTTCTTGATCACAGCCATTCCATTTCCAATCTGTACTATTACAATACATTCCTAAATATTGTCTCTGTTTCTAAGCTTTTGCTATCCATTCAACCATTCGCCATGTTGTCTTGGTTCACCACACTCTCATGATCAAGAATCTGTAATGGCTATCTCATGTACATTAAGTAAACATCAAATACTTTGGAGTAACATTGAAAAGGTTCCATGACCTGGGCCAAAGCTAAGAACAATGGTTTTTATTTCCAAACTAGTGGCCCGGTGCATGAATTTGTGCATGGAGGTTGGGGACCCCTCAGCCCAGCCTGCACCCTGTCTGATTGAGGACCCCCAGTGGTATCGGGCCTAAACCGGCAGTTGGACATCTCTCTCACAATCTGGGACCACTAGCTTCTAACCACTCACCTGCCTTCTTGCCTGATTGCCCCTAACCCCTCTGTCTGCCTTCCTTATCACCCCTACCCTCTCTGCCTGCCTGCCTAATCAACCCTAAATGCCTCTGCCTGACTGATTTCCCCTAAATGTCCTTCCCTGCTAGTCTGATCTCACCCTCAACTGCCCTCCCTTGCAAGCCTGATTGCCCCTAATCCCCTGGCAGCCTTATTGCCCCTAACTGCCTCTGCCTTGGCCCCCACCACCATGGCTTTGTCTAGAAGGAAGCTGGAAGATGGCCCGTTGACCCTGTCTACTTAGCATATTACCTTTTTATTAGCATAGGTAGATTATATAGGATAAGATTGCTTAAATGGAGGGAAATAGCCTTTTTCAGCAGGCAGAGATGCTCTTGGCAGACAAAAATACCTAATTCCTATATCTGTACCGATGCACTATATAATGCAGAGTGTGATGCACTATATACTACCTAATTCCTATTCCTATATCTGGACTGATGCACTATACTGCCATACCCCACCAGTCATTAAAAAATTGAACCAATTTCTTACACCTTACATCAAACAGCTGTTGCCTTTAAAACTCCTTCTCAGCCCTCACCTTAGGTTCTGCCTTCACAGTTCACCCATATTTGGTTCTGATTGGTCAGTTTCTATGCCAGTCAAGGTCAAAAGCCATTACGAAGGACCTCCTAGGCAGCCATTGGCTCCTCGCATTTCACTCAGATTTGGTTCTGATTGGTCTGTTCTATGCCGGTCAGCATCTCTGGGCTATCTCCTGGCCTGATCAGAGAGGCAGAGCTGATCAGTAGCCACGCCAGGCTGCTGGCCAGCAGGCTGAACTGCTGACCTCTCAGAGAAAAAGAGAGAGAGAGGGGCAGGAGGAAGCAAGGGCTGATCAGCAGCTGCCATGGAGGCTGCAGATCAGACCCTGCTTTTCTCTCTGGCCCTCACCAACATCTGTGCCTCTCTCCCTGGGCCTCTCTAGCAACAAGCCCTAGTCCATATACTTCAGTGGATAGAGTGGGCATGTGCAGGAAGCAACCAATAGTTTCTTATTGATGTTTCTCTCTCTTTGTCTCTCCCCTTCCCTCCCACTCTCTCTAAAAATCAGTGGAAAACTATCTTCAGGTAAGAATTAACAATAACAACAAAAAAGCAACAAAAACACCGGCAAAACTGTTATAATTAACCTTTAGAACTCTAAAAATTAACCAAAACCCTGCAACACTATGAGGATGCTAATGAAAAAAAAAACAAAAAACTGATGAGTTTCTCCTAAGGACAAAGGGCATTTAAATATAGCCCCTCTTTCCAGTAGCCTTGAAAACCAGCTACATCTATACCACAGGAGCTGTGAATTCCAGCAGCCTAGCAGCTCTTAGAGGGCAGGCAAGATTTGGAGCTCCACAGGAAGTCCATCCCAGAACTATGTTAGTGTTGGCTCTTCCTCAAGAGTCCCATTCAGAGGCTTGTTGTTATTTTATTTTACCTGGGAACTCCCTGAGTGGGAAAATTCTATCACCAGGGCAGTTGTGGAAAAAGATAATAGAAAATCACCAGTTGGGCAAACAAGAGCCTAAACAAAAATTTAGAAGATTTTTGGGAATGAGATGTCGATAGGCAGCTTCAAAAAGTTCTGATATGTTCTTGTGGAGAGGCTACACACATGTGTAGGGTTGGATGTGTTTTCAGAGAAGTTCTGGAGGGACCCCAGTCTCTCACCTCTGGCTGACCTGAGATCCTGTGCAAGCAGGAAGTGATGGGTAAAGCATGAACATCAAAAATGTGCCTCTAACAAACACAAAGTCCCTGGGCAAAGGGTGGGAGACTTACTAGTATTCATTGAGGAAATCTCTGATGAATCATTTGTTGACAAGTAAACTCACAAAGCAGTAAACTCATTGGCTGCATATTCTAGGGGAATACAGATTTTACAGTATTAGTCCAGTAAGTTATTAAACAAGAAACAACAATTAGTGAAGCTCAGTTGGTTGGGTGTCCTCCATTCATGGAAAGGTTGCTAGTTTGATTTTGGTCAGGGCACAGCCCCTGGAAGGGTGCCTTCAGAAGGCAACTGATTAATGTTTTGAAGTTTTGCACTAACATTGATGTTTCTCTCTCTCCCTCTCTCTCTAAAAATAAATTTTAAAAATCTTTTATAAAAAAGTAAAAGAAACAGCAGCAATGACAAAACACTGTGGGGTGGAAGTGGAAGGTCTTGTTTCCAGAACTGACACATATTTTCTAAAAAAAAAAAAATGTATATGACAAGTCCTTTGGTTGATCTCTTATCCCCTCACCTCCAACCCCCCCAATCCCCCTGCTTTCCCTCATAGGATGCTTCTATGACTCTGGTTCTATTTTTGTTAATCAGTTTATGCTTTTTATTATAATCCACAAATGAGTGAGGTCATGTGGTATTTAGCATGCATATGAGCATAACCAATGGACACAGATGGGGGAGGGTATGTTTGGGGGGGTGGGGCAGCCAGGGAGAGGTCAATGGGGGAAAAGGAGAATTATGCAATACTTTAAATAATAAAGAATTTAAATAAAAAAGTATGTGACATGCAAGGAAACAGAAAAATATGGTCCATAAATGTGGGAAAACATCAATAGAAACTCCTCTTTAGAGGCTCAAATGTTGGACTTACTAAATCTACTTATTAAATATACAGAGCTATTAGAGATATCTATATTATGGAAACGGACCAAAAGAGGTAAACAACTGACCAGCATCAGTGTTCAAGGGAGAGCAGGAACTGTGATTTGCGATCCAGATTATTTCTCAGAATGATTGCCTTCAATCTTAAGCATCAGTGTGTATACATATATTAAAAATATATTTTTTAAAAAAACTATTAATGAGAAGCATGAGATTATTTGAAAATATTTTGGATAAGTACCTAAATAGTCCTTATGTTGTAATCTCTTTTTTCAGGTCCTCCAGTTAATGTCACATGCAACATATTCATAAACAGCTTTGGCTCTATTGCTGAGACAACCATGGTAAGCATGTTTCCTTTGTAACAACTTTCATACCAAAGTAAATGATAGTCACATTAATGGCAATTTTTCTACTAATGTTATTTAATTTAAAAACAAAATTAATATAATAAGATTTTAAAGGATAAAATGAATGGTGTAATTAAATTGTAATCAACTGCAAGTAAAAATGTTTCATTTAGAGACGGTATAGTGTAGAATAAATGTAAGTGAAAACAAGATTGGTTTTTCACACTTCAGGAATTAAATACCAAATCTCAAAAAAAAAAATTCTATTATGTGACTTATTTATTCCTTTCCAATGTTTTTAACAATCAGATATAAGCATAGGATTAAACAATTTCATTTTTAATTATTGAATATACTTATAAATGTGTTCATAATATTGTTTTAAGTACTATTCTATTTGATTGCTTTTTCAAATAACTATAACATTAACTCAAACATCATAAATATTTTGCAAACTATAGTGTTTGCTTTAATTTAACTAAACTCAATGAATAGAGACTTCATTACCATGTAATTAAAAACATTTTACATAATTATTAAAGTTAAAAATATATCATTATAGCACAGATTTTCCCTGTTTAGAATTTTATAACTTTCTTCAGAGATCATGTATCTCTTCTTTGCCTTATAGCTTTTATTGTGCACTTAGCTAAAATAATATGCAGACATAGGCATATGAATCACTGAATAGCTATAAAAGTGTCTAGCAGGCAACATTTTAAAATTGAAAGTATGTATGGTGGTTCTTAAATTACCTAGAATTATACTCCATTTCTAAATTTAACAAGTGTAATTTGCATTAATTTTCAAAGTTGATTTTAGTGAAAATAGGATATGAAATACTTCAAGATTTATTAGCTTCCAAAACCATTAAGTAGAGAATTATGTTTACTTTCTATATCTCAGAATGATTTGATAGAGAATTTCTAAGGAAAAGTAATCTAATCTGTAAATTATTTTGTGGGGGAGTGTGTGTGTGTAAAGGATCTCTCTCAACAGGAAAAGACTATTCAGGCACCATCTAAACAAATGGTCTTTTCATCATGTATGTAATATATAGCCATTTAGCAGCATCTCTGAGGTTCTATTCAAACATTGAAAGCATCAGCGAAAAAAAACCCTGACTTCACATATTTGGGCATTATATAGAGTTATTTTAACTATAGTATATAATTAACATTAATGTGAGTGTCTGTCTTTGTGCAAACACAAAGACCGTGCATGTATTTGCTTGTATAAGCACCTTCTAGTTCTGGTGCAATTCTGACCCTAAAGTGACTATAGTTCTGTTTCAGACCTTGACATATTTTGGATTCTGATTGAATAGCTGGCCAATTTATATCCTGCAATTGTACATAACCACCCCAAATTATAGTAAAGATAAAAGAATCTCTGGCCTTTTTTTTTTTTTTTTCTTCGATATATTAATAGACTCTCCAAATTGTATTTCTAGCCCTGGCAACTTTCTCATTTTAATTGCTACTATATACACTGTACAATCCTGAAAACCTGGAAAACATGTTTATGCTTTTTTCTTTTGCAAGATCATTTCCACAAAATATTTTTGACGGTGACAGTCAGAAAGGTTTACAGCCTTACTTATCTTTGTGGGATGGAGGAAGGGACTTGGAAACAAGAGAAGACATAGTCAGATTTCCTTATTAAAATCTGAAAAATTGTCAGATTCATGAGGGCCTCTGCTTTTTATGACATATATTGACATTTATGATACATCAGTCTACCACTAAATGGTTATAACCACTAAGTGATTATAACAGACAATCAATAGATGACTACACCAGCTAAATTTCTTACCCTTAATCATTTTAGACAGATTTTCTTTAGAGAATAGTATTGTACATAAAGCTTGATACTGTTCTATACACTCTCACAGTGACTCAGTTTTATTTCTTCCGAACTCTACTGTAGAAATTCTTTCCCAGTCCAACATATTCCATCATAATGGATTTCCTTTGAAATAATTTTAGACTCGATTACTCTCCTTTTCAGAGTCACAAGCAGCATCAATGAACATTAAACACTGCAGAGGTTAATTATATATAAATATAAAAGCAAAATATGCCAATTAGACTGGGCATCCTTCCAGCAGCCTTCAGGATGAAGCTGGGGCTGCGAGGGAAGCCCGCGTCCCAGGTGCCTGCTGGCAGCCAGCGGGAGGGAAGCCCAAGTTCCGTATGCCAGAAGAAAGTCGGTGCCCACAGCCAGGAGAAGGCCCACTCTAGCATGAATTTCATACATCGGGCCTCTAGTTATAAAATAAGCTAAGAATTATAAAATTAAGATGTCCACGTTGGTATCTTTCTTTTTAGTCTTCCAAACTGTTAAATATATGACATGACTGCTATTCTTATAACTAGATTTAATCATTGTAAAACATTTTAATGGTATCAGATAGATTAGCTATAATATGGTGTCCCTCTATATAGGAATAGAGAAAATTTGAACTTGTTATTTTATTTCTACCTTAAGAATCATAAAATAGCTGAAACCGGTTTGGCTCAGTGGATAGAGTGTCAGTCTGTGGACTGAAAGGACCCAGGTTCGATTCTAGTCAAGGACATGTACCTTGGTTGCGGGCATATCCCCAGTGAGGGTATGCAAGAGGCAGCTGATTGATGATTCTCTCTCATCGATGTTTCTACCTCTCTATCCCTCTCTCTTCCTCTCTGTAAAAAATCAATAAAATATATAAAAAAGAATTATAAAATATTTCGCTACCACTTGATAAAATCAATATAATTTAACCATTATTCCCACCATAACAGCTCTGCAAACTAAGTTTTATTTGCCATAATATTGCTTAATTTTTATAAAACCACCAAAATATTTTTAAACATGCTCATTTCTTATGCAAATGTAGTTTACTTTTTAAAATACAAATAAATTAATTCATTTAAGATAGCATAATAAAATTAAGAGGACAGAATTTCAAATTACCTATAATCATTAATGAATACCTTTAGATATGAGAACTTATATCTCAAATAAAATTAAATAATTCTTCCAATTTACATATATTTGCTTCACAACATTCTTAACTGTTTTGAATGTTTTTACTGACCAAATATATTAAGCTTCCTCTGATTATCTAGTCTCTATTATATTTCTTCCCATTTTATTATAATACCCAGCTTTAGTCCCATTTGAGGTAATTATTTAATTCTTGAGAAAGTTTCTCTAGTAGATATTTTTATTCTAGCCATTTTCTAAAAACTAAGTAACTTTAAAAATGAACAAATTCAAATTTGAACCTATTTTGTATCTTTTTACACCAAATCTTTCAAATATTTATGTGCATTTTTAATAGCATAAACTCAAATTTCTTAACTGTTAAGTCCATCCTTTCCCAATGTTTCTCTAACTTATTATAGTACCAACCCTTCTCACTTGAGTACAGTTTTATTATTCTTGACATATTGTCATCAAATTTTTTTCCTATAAATATCAAAATTCTAGACTTCCCTATTTCCCTCACATTTGAGTTGTATGCCATTATATATAATGTGATTCTCTAAGGCTGTGCTCAGTCTCCATTATTCCGAGTTTACATTCTTTTTAAGCAAAACTATTGGAAACCATAGTTCTTAAAAATATTAAATAAAGCTGGTTTACCATCATTGGGGTCATTCTGTTTCCTGTTCTGCAACTTGGCCTTGATGACAGAGGTGCATCTATTTTATTTTTTAAATCTGTGGGGACCAAAAGAGCTCAGGAGTGTTTTCATTGCTTCTATGAGGGAAGCTTAAGATCTCCACATTAAGTGACACTTATTAGTAAGTGAAACACACTCCTGCAAACCGGTGATGAGTTGTGGATAAGGCTTATATGCCAGGATGAAAACATTTGTAAGTTGCATTTAAAAAATACCAAAACCTCATAGTAGTTTGGGTGTGTACACTGTATACAGCAGTATTTAAAAATGAATAAATTGGCCAAATCATCTATCTTCAGGAAATACCCTGTTTCCCCAAAAATAAGACAGTGTCTTATATTAATCTTTGCTCCAAAAGATGCGCTAGGTCTTATTTTCAGGGGATGTCTTATTTTTCCATGAAGAAGAATACAGTACACATTTATTGTTAAATGAAAAAGGAAATTTATTACCTGTATATGGTACGGTAGTACGGTAGTTGTCAACACAAACCAGACAAACTGTGAATCCTACAGTATCAAGAATTTACTCATTGTTTCACTGACAATCATGTCATCATCTTCTGGAACATCATCATAACAATCCAATTCCTGAGTTTCCTGGTGAATTTCTTGTGAAATTAATTTTCATTCTGAGACAGACCCTAGGGGGGCCTTATTTTCCGGGGATGCCTTATATTTCACTCAGAAGGAAAGTTGTAATAGGTCTTATTTTCAGAGGTTGTCTTATTTTTGGGGTAGATGGCTCTCCATTTTGTTACAAATAAGAAATAGAGAATTGCTCTGCTATGCGCCTTAAGTCAATATTTACTCATTGCACCATTACTTTTCACCAGTTCCCTTAGAATAAAGTGCTTTTCTAAAACAGAAACAAAAACAGCTGAGCTATTTTGGTATGAGTTTTTTAGGTGCCTGTATAGAGCAATGTATGGTGGGGTTGGGTGAGAGTATCTGAGGGTCTGTTTGAGCTCAAAGAATTATTCAAACTGGACAATGTTTCAATTTTCCACACAAATGATAGGTGCATATATGATGATGACAAGCTTTTTTAAATGCTACTTTATTTGGTTATGTTAGGATAACATTTAACTCCTTGTACTGATTATCAGATAGACTCCACTGACATTCTATAATTTTAGTCCAATTTACCTTTAAGTTCTATCTTTAAAAAAATACTTTGTTTAAATCCATGGGCATTTATTATTATTATTATTATTATTATTATTATTATTATTGGTAATTATAGGCTCCATAGAGCAGTAATCCATGCTGATATGTTCATCACTAAACATTAACAACTAGGAGAATTCTCAGAACAAAGT